GGGGAAGAAAGAGCTCAGCCTCTGTAGTGACTTGAAGGGTGTCCCTCCAAAAATATTATGTCCAGGTCCTAATCTCTGCGCCAGAACGAGCGAACGTGACCTTATTTGGAAATAGGGCCTTCAGGCTCCAGCACTCACATCTCATCTGCCTGCCTCGTTATCAGGGAGACCCACGGAGACCTGAGATGTCGAGACGTTCATGGGAGTGAAGAAATATTACAGGAAAGAGATCAGGAGACTGGGCTGCATTCCACCTATCTTCCCCCCACCATGTGTCTTCCCTCCAGCTAGGTGGTCATGGGCGTTTAGAAAGGAGAGCATAGAAAGGTCTTTCTATAAGGGATACCATGTCATTTCACACGCCTTTTTGTCTAAAATGTCTTCAAAGCTCTCCAAGAAATGTCTGAATCCGCTTCATAATTGAAGAGTAATGGCAAAGCACTTTGGCTCGGCCACTGCTCGGGTCCCCTTGGAACTCCACATCTCCACCCTCCCTGTTCGGTCCCGACACCCTATCTGCGGATGGGACAGACTAGGACGTGGATCCCAAAGGCCTGGGGTCCCTGCTCCTCTCCCAGCAGCTCAGGGAGGCTGCTGTGGATCGGATGCTGCCGTGTGACCCCAGGATTGCCGGCCCGTAGCCAGGGCAGGGCCCGGACCCAGCGGCCAGCAGCTCTCAGTTCTCCCGAGAAAAGCATGGTGCCGACAGGAACATATTTATTGAGTTTGTAAGTTGAGCTAACCCACTATGGAAATGATCGAAGAGACAATTAAGATAGAGACCCGTGTGGTCACGATGTTGGCAAGGCTCCCGCCTCAGCTGGGCCAGGCCACAATGCGGGTGCAGTCCTGGGGGCTTTCTGCACGGAACTGACGGACGTGACCTGCGACCCTCTCGCTTTCTGAAATCATCAAACATCTGCTGAGTGAGCTGTTTGGGAACGGGTCCCAGGCCGGTCGTGGAGGGAGCAAAGCCAAGCGTTGCGGGAGGGGGGCGGATGAGCCCCAGGGCCCTTTTCATCAGGAACACACATGAGTCATTTTTAATCAGTCAAAAAAAGGGAAAAAGACCAAATGCACTTAATGAACGCCCGCATACCACGCTGCAACGGGATGGGGATGACTGCAAAATCTTGGAGGGACCTTAAATGTTCACCAGGAAGGCAGAAGGACTAAGTCAACAAGGTCCACAGGATGTCCACAGGATGAGACAGCAGGTACTTGATAAAAAGAACAAACGGGGGTCAGATATGCTGACAAGGAAAGACACGGGACAGATTGTTAAATGAAAGAACGACGTGCAGCACAACCTGTACGGTTGACCTTGAACAATGTGTATTTCAAATGGGTGGGTCCACCCATACAGTATAGGACCGTAAATGTTTTTTCCCCTCCTTATGATTTTCTTAAAAACATTTTCTTTTTTTGTTGCTGACTTCATTGTAAGAACACAGAATAACTACAGGAATGCCTGGGTGGTTCAGTCGGTTGAGTGTCTGACCGCTGGATCTCAGGGTCATGAGATCGAGCCCCAGGTCAGGCTCTGTGGTTCAGAGTAGGGTCTGCTTGAGGGTCTCTCTCTCCCTCTCCCTCTGCACCACCCCCCCTGCTCGCATTCTCACTCTCTCTCCCTCTCTAAAATAAATAAATAAAATCTTAAAAAAAAAAAATACAGAGTGGGGGAGCGCCTGGGTGGCTCAGTGGGTTAATGCCTCTACCTTCAGCTCAGGTCATGATCTCAGGGTCCTGGGATCGAGCCCCGCATTGGGTTCTCTGCTCAGCGGGGAGCCTGCTTCCTCCTCTCTCTCTGCCTGCCTCTCTGCCTACTTGGATCTCTGTCAAATAAATAAATAAAATCTTAAAAAAAAAAAATACACAGTAGGGGTGCCTGGGTGGCTCGGTGGGTTAAAGCCTCTGCCTTCGGCTCAGGTCATGATTCCAGGGTCCTAGGATCAAGCTCCGCATCGGGTTCTCTGCTCAGCAGGGACCCTGCTTCCCCCTCTCTCTCTGCCCGCCTCTCTGCCTACTTGTGATCTCTGTCAAATAAATAAATAAAGTCTTTTAAAAAATACAGAATATGATACATATAACGTTCAAAATATGAGTTAATTGGCTGTTTATATTATTGGTAAGGCTTTTGGTCACAAGGAAGCTACCCGCAGTTAAGTCTTTGGGAAAACAAATTTTATCAGTAGACTTTTGACTATGGGCTGGGGGTGATGGTCAGCAGTTAGGGTGACTGAAATCCCATCTTGTTTTATGGAACGTATCGAAATGTACTATGTATCATAACATAGTGTGTCAGGGATCAAGGTGGGAGGTTTTGAGGTCTTTAAACAGAAAGATACGGGTACATTCAGAAATACTGTGGGTTCCGTGCCCACCTGCAAACTAATTTTTTGGTTTCCCGGGGGATATAAAAGTTATATTTATGCCATACTGTAGTCTGTCAAGCGTGTAACACCATTACGTCTAAAACACAATGCACATACCTAAGTTTAAAAACACTTTCTGCTAAAAAATGTTAACCGTACCTGAGCGCTCAGTGAGTCGCAATCACCAACCACAGATTACCACAACCAATAATAATAATAATGAAAAAGTTTGAAATATTGTGAGAATTACCAAAATGTGACAGCCAGATAGAAAATGAGCAAATACTTTTGGAGAAAGAGCTCTGACGACTTTCTTGATGCCACCAACCTTCAATCTGTAAAAAACACAAGATCTGCAGAGCTCCAAGAGTGAAGCACAATGAGGTCTGCCTGCACAGGAAGTTCACGACTCAACGCTGCCACTGGAGAATGATAGCGGCCACAGTGCATCAGTGAATGAGTGTAGCTGTGTGCCAATAAAACTTTATTTACACAAACAGCCTGCAGGTGGGATTTAGCCTGGGAGCTATAGTTTGCCATCTCCTGGTCACACCACACAATCTGAAGATGATAATTCTATTTTTGTATGGAAATCGAAGAGCTGGACAAAAGCTGTAGTCGTGCTGCCTCTGTCTGAAAAGAAGTTTCTAGAATGTGCCCATTTCTCTCCACCTCCGCTGTCCTGCTCAGGTGAACCCCACCATCACTGCCTAGATGACACAGCCCCCAGAGGACTTCCAGCCCCTGTCCTGTCAAACAGATGACAGAGAACTCACTCCTCTCCTCCAGAACTCCGGGAAGTTCCCCATCCCACCCAGGCACTCTTGCCTCAGGGCCTTTGCACTGGCTGTTTCCTCTGCCTGGAACACACTTCAGCTGGATACCCTCACGGCAAATCTCCTCACCACCTTCTTAGTGAGACATTCCAGGTCAGCTACTTCGGATGCATTTGGCTTTTACCTACTCTTTGAGCGTCCTGGGGCCGCTGCATAAAGTACCACACACTGGGGAGCATAAAACATTAAGAATTCAGTGTGCCTGGGTGGCTCAACGGGTCTGCCTTCTGATCAGGTCATGATCCCGGGGTCCTGGCATCGAGCTCCATCGCAGGCTCCCTGCTCAGCAGGGACCCTGTTTCTCCCTCTCCCTCTGCTGCTCCCCCTGCTCATACATGCTCTCTCTCTCTTTCTTTCTCAAATTTAAAAAAAAAAATTAAATCTTTAAAAATAAATAAATAAAACAATAAGAATTCATTGTCCTGCAGTTCTGGAGGCCAGAAGTCCAGAATCAAGGTGTTGGCAGGGCCGTGCTCCTTCTAAAGATCTAGGGGAGGTTTCTTCCTGGCATTCCTGCAGCTCTTGGGGGCTCCAGCGTTCCCCAGCTTGTGCCACGTGACCCCAATCTCTGCCTCCATCTCCTTCTCTCTCCATCCTTTCACACTGTCTTCCCTCTGTGCATATCTCTGTGTTCATACTACCCCCCCCCTTTTTAAAGATTTTATTGATTTGTCAGAGAGAGAGAGAGAAAACGGGGCTTGATCCCAGGACCCTGGGATCATGATCCCAGCAGAAGGCAGACGCTTAACCAACTGAGCCACCCAGACATCCCATCAAATCTCCCCTTTTTATAAGGACACTGGTCATACTGGATTAAGGCCTACCCTAATGACCTCATTTTAACCTGGTGAAATCCGAAAGACCCTCTTCCCAAATGAGGTCGCACTGGGAGGTATTGGGGGTTAGAATTCCCACATGTCTTTGGGTTGGGGTGTGTGTGTCGGGGGGAAACACAGTTCAACCAGGAACAGAAGTGTGGCCTCCTCAAAGGGCAGCAAGAGAGGAAAGGCGCTGGCCTGCCTGTGGGGACAGCTGAGGACTGTGTGTGCCAGGCCACCAGACCCACTCATCCTGCCCCAGCTAATGTCTCTTCTATACCTCCCAGCCACCCCCCGTCAGGTGAGTTAACCTGCCTGACTCAGGATACAGAACAGGCTTCGGTTGCAAACACAGTTTCCCTAGGGTCCCAGCCGGCCATGTACTTAGCAGCAGGGCGCACCCAGGAGCTAGAGGGAGACCCAAGGGCTGGGAGAATACGGTACTCTCGGGAAGTCTGATTTTGCTAAAATGTTCAATGGTGAAGGGAAAATTAAATGGATCTTTCAGGCAGCTGTGAACCGGAACCTAGCGATTCAGCACAGGGAGGAGGAAAAAAAATACAGAGAAAGACAAAAGATGGAGGGGAAACACAGTTCAACCAGGAACAGAAGTGTTCCTGGTTGGCTCAAGGGGGGCCAACCCCGGGGGCTCAGTCGGTTCAGTGTCTGCTTTGGGCTCAGGTCATGATTCAGGGTCCTGGGATCGAGTCCCACATTGGGCTCCTTGCTCAGCGGGGAGTCTGCTTCTCTCTGTGCCCCTCCCCCTTGCTCATGCGCTCTCTCGCAAAAATAAATAAAAATCTTAAAAAACAAAACAAAACCAAAAAACAAAACAACAACAACAACAACAAAAAAACAAAAGATAGACAAGGGCCTGGGTCCTTTGGGAAGGGGGATGAGCTGGATGCTGGGTTCACAAAGCCAAAGGCAGTCTGGGTCCATAGAGAGGGTGCCGGGCCTGAGGTCTGGTCTGCAGCGTCTGCTCACAATCCCAGCAAATGCTCTTAATTGTTCAGGGTCAGCAGTTCACTGAGCAAATCCTTGGGACCCTGGGGGGTCTCTCCGATCACTGAGGGGGGTTTCCGGAACTCTCTGGAACCCAATCAGTTCCAATTAGCCAGTGAAGCCAGGAATGTGGGCCGGAGACACAGTAGGGCTGGAAGGGCTTCTTCACAGGAGATGAGGCCCAGCCTGGGGGCCGGGGAGTGGGGGGCGGGGTGGGGGACTGAGGGGACTGCACCATGGAAACAGGCATGGGGAGGAAGGGAGGGAACCCAGGCCTTGCGGGCAGTGGGGGCTCCCATGTGACTTAGCAACACCACCGTTTACGGTTCATTTTTTCGTTCGTAAGCTACATTTCAGTGAACCAGAGAAGGACCGCACTGCCTGATTCTACTTAATGCACAGTCCCTGGAACAGGCAGATGCATAGAGTCAGAGAGAAGATAGAAGAGAGGCTACCGGGGTTTGGGAGCAGGGGGGAAGAGGGGCTATTGTTTACTGAGCATAGAGTTTATAGCGGGAATGATGAAAAATTGAGGGCGCAAATCGTGGTGATGGTTACACAATCTTGTGAATGCATCCATGCCATCTAACTGTGCGCTTAAACGGTAAAAATGATAAATAAAATGGGGGCACCTGGGTGGCTCAGTGGGTTAAAGTCTCTGCCTTTGGCTCAGGTCATGATCCCAAGGTCCTGGGATCGAGCCCCGCATCGGGCTCTCTGCTCAGCGGAGAGCCTGCTTCCTCCTCTCTCTCTGCCTGCCTCTCTGCCTACTTGTGATCTCTGTCTGTCAAGTAAATAAATAAAATATTTAAAACAAATAATAATAAAATAAAATGTTATGTGTAAAGTCCATCACACTGCATTCAGTAAAGGAAAACAAAACAAAAACCAGACCGGATGCTTGTGCAGAGAAGCCGGCTTCCTTGACAGTGGCCGTCACCATCCCTGTGTGTCCGGGACAAATGTGTGGTCCAGGGGGATGGCAACATTTATCCCATGGTCACGGCCAAGTGTTGGATCCACGGTCCCTGACCATGGGCCACGTCCACTGGCCACATCCACCGCCCCTCCTCGGGGTCAAGTGGGGCCTGCCATTTGCCTGCTGCAGCCAATTCCACCCCCCCTTGCTCCCCCCCACCAAGGCAAGTGCTCAGGAAGGAGTGTCTGAATCTGAGTTATGGGAGGTGAGACCGGCAGATCCAGAGAGCAACGACATCTGTCATTCCACCCTGTCCCGATAACAACCTGCCTCCAACTCCAACTGGTCAGGTTGGGGCATTCTTGCAGGTGGGGTCTATTTCTTCCCCACAGCTCCTGCTTCTTCCCAGTGCCCGAAATGATGGCCACAGCTCCTGTCCCTGAATCAAGGCAGACTGGGGAGGGGGTTGAAAACTGCTTCCTGTTCAAATTCACTGAACAATCTTAAGCCAGAGGATGCACTGCCGCCCCTCCCCGCAAATCTGACCCCCTCCACAAGGGGGTCAGCAGAGTCCCTAGGAGCTGGCTGAGCAGCATGGCCAAGGTCACGGCACCCTCTCTTTCCCACAGAAGTCCCTCTGTGTCTCCAACTGGATCCTGTAGTGGATTCAGAGGACTGTTGCAACAAATAACCACAGATTGACAACTTAAAACAATAAAACTTACTCTCTCACAGTTCTAGACATCAACAAGTGTGAAAGCAAGGTGTCAGCAGGGCTATGCTGCCCCGGAAGGCTCTAGGGGAGGGTCCTTCCTGGCCTCTCCTAGCTCGGGGGGCTCCCAGCATCCTTGGCTTGGGACCCTAACACCCCGTTCTCCACCTCCGCCTCCATGTAGATTTCTCTCCATCTCAAATCTCTCTGCCTCTCCTTCAGGGACCCCTGGCATCAGATTTAGGGTGCACGCAGATAACCCGGGATGATCTCATCTCGAGATCCCTCACCTAACTGTATCCACAGAGACCCTTTTCCAGATCAGGTCACAGTCACAGGTTCCAGGTGTCAGGGTGTGGATGTAACTTTGGGGGGGCTGCCGTTCACCCCACATAGGCCCCAAGCACATTCTTCCTGAAGACTTGGTGCCTGAGCCTTATCCATTCTTTAGACAAATCTTGGTTTTTATCTCCCTTCCTGGTGGTGCTCCAAACAGACCTAGTGTCGCAATGGGGAGTTTTCCATGAAGATTTACAACCCCGGTATCAGAACTCCACCGCAGTGAACCAGTGCTCGAATGTTCCACATTACAGAGCTGGACAGACCAGGCAGGGCCAGGAGACCAACAAGAATGCTCAGCTGACGGGCTCCAGGAGAGGGCTGGGCTCACATCTTACCCCGGACGACACCGTGCAGCCCCCAAATGCGAAATAAGGCACACTATGCCTTTAAGAGTGATGTCGTTCAAGGGTACTTGACACAAAAAGATGCCCATGATATTACAGACAAAGGAGAGGCAGGTACAAATATTTCCACTTCCACTCCGTTTTTGTCTGAAATTCAATCGGAATTATATGCTCCAAAATGTGCATCGTGCCGATCTGACTGGCGACAGTTCTGGATGACTGAGAACTCTTCCCTTGATTATCTCAATTTTCTGCAATAGGTCTGTCCAAAGAAGCCCACTAAGATCTAAGACATATTAATATAATCTGTAAGCATTGATTTTTTTTCCAAAGCATGCAAAGACACTAACCATTTCATCTGAATTGATGGGTGATGAACTGGCCAGATGGCTAATAACCGTGGACGCCTGCAAGCTGGGGACTTGCTGCCCCCTAGAGTCCTCCAGGAGAATCTCCAGCAGAGAATGGGACCGAATGATGGAAGGCTCCCTGGAGCTAGACGCCAAGGCTGTGGAAGACCCCTCTGTACAGTGCCCTGATTTTATCGCCATGAAGACTTGGCTGGGCAGTGGCCCCTCAGGGGTGCTGTGCTCCCCTCCCCCTGGGCCCCCTGTTCACCTCCTAACTGCCGGTCACCCACCCGAGAAGGACTTTGCAGGGAACGGAGATTCTGTCTCACCTCCCAGCCTGGGTACCTGGGACAATCTGAGGTCCAAGTGATCTCAAGGCTGCACCTTTGTGTCTTCTTCCCCTGGGTCTCATCTCCTCCACCTGCTTCAGTCCCTGCTATGCTGACTAGAGGTTCCAATTACAGCCTTCATCATGACTCCTGATACCCACGAATAACTGGGCTTCACTCGGCCAGAATTAACTTAAATCAGCAGTTCCCAAGCTGGGTACTATGGACATCCGGGATCATTCTTTGCAGGTGGTGGCTGGGGGCCGTCCTGTGCATTACAGGATGTTGGGAGGTACCTCTGGGCTGACCCATTGAGTGCCAGCAGCCTCCCCTACCCCAGAGCCACGACAACCCAAAATTCCCTGCACGCCACCCATATCCCTCTGGGGTTATGGTGGAGAATCATTCTGGTTGAGAACCACAGCCTGAAATGAACAGGGGCTGTGCAGAGAGCAGAGCACTGCTCCCCTCCGTACTGCCCCTCCCAGAAACACTCCCAGGCTCTGGTATAGGCGGCAGCCTTTTCTTTGAGTCAGCGCCTCTGAAGCCCAAGCTGGAGCCCGGTTATTCATGATGGGAGGCAACGGAGGAATCTGGATGGGCTCACGGACTCCAAGTGGTGGTCAAGGAGTTTCACTCCTGTGTGTGACCTGTCCTGCCTGTCCCCAATAGTCATACTTTGGGGACAGCTCACTGGGGACTCCTGAGAGAACCCGGAGCTTAGAGCAGCACACCCCCCCACCACCACCACAATGGAACTGGAAAGTGTGACAGCTAAAGCCTTTCTTTCCTGGCATATTCAGAGGAGGTGTCCCTTGGATGGCCAGAGGACGCTTAGAGTCTGTCTGTCTCAGGACAGACAGAGGACAGACAGAGGGGGCCACCCAGCCCTGCTTGGTGGCCATTCTAGGCCAGTGTCGTTCCAGCCTATATAATAAAGTGTCCTTGGCATCTCCACTAGATGGATCCCCGTATTTTGAACGCACCCTACATGCCCCAGATGGCATCAGTCACATAGATTATAGGAAACCAGACTTCCCCAAATTTAAAACCTTTGCACTTCAAAGGACACCAGCAAGAAGGTCAAAAGACAACCCACGGAAGGCAAAAGATATTTGCAAATCACATGCCCGGTCAAGGATTTCTATCCAGAATATGTAAAGAAGTCTTTTGACTCAATAATAAAAGGACAACACAATTTAAACACGGACAAAGTCATGCAAAGATGCTCAATGTCGCTCATCAGCTGGGAAATGCAAACCAAAACCACACTATCAAAAAGATAAGAAATAACAAGTGTTGGCAAGGATGCAGAGAAAAGGGAAGCTCTGTGCTCTGTTCGCAGCATTAAAATCAAGGGCAGAGACCGGCCTTGAAGCTTCCCTGAGACAGAACCAGTTTAGCCATGGAGGCAAAGCTTAATTTAGCTCAATTTGCAAGGCTTACTCGACCTGCGTCATTGGGCTTGTGCCTCTGGAAATGACAAGCCGAACTTGAACTGTTTCCCGAGGCTGGTACAACCCCTGAAAACTGTAATATTGTAACCAGTCACCAGGAAGAATCAACTATCACTGCTTTCTCAGCAAATACATCCCGTGTTCTGGTTTGAGCGCTCCCGGCTTGCAAGCCCTCTTTTCGGTGCGTGACAATAAATTTTTGCTAAATACTACTTCAGCGATTCATTTGTTTCGCTGTGGCCATTTTGAGCCTTGCCAGTGGGAATGTCCATGAGTACAGCCACGGAACAGTATGGAGGTTCCTCAAAAAATTCAAAAAGGAGCATCCATACAATCCAGCAATCCCACTTCTGGGCATTTACCCAAAGGAAACAAAATCACTAACTTGAAAAGGTCACTGCTTCTTCATGTTCATTGCAGTAGTATTTACAATAGCCAAGACATGGAAACAACCTCAGTGTTCATGGACCGACAAACAGATAAAGAAATGTGACATATACACACATGCATCTATATATGTAATCATGGTATAAATATGTATGTATATTATTTATTATTATATGATTATATATATAATGGAATATTATTCAGCTACAAAAAAGGAAACCTTGCCAATTGTGACAACGCAAATGGACCCTGAGGGCTTTATGCTAAGTGAACCAGGTCAGACAGAGAAAGACAAATACTGTACCATCTCATTTATATGTGGAATCTTTAGAAACAGACAACAGTTGGGAAGAGATATTTGCTATGGCCTTCATGTTTGTGTCCCCCCTCCCCCGCCCCTGCCAGCAATTCACGGGTTGAAATTTAAATCCCCCATGGGACAGTATGAAGGGGGGGGGCTTTAGGAATTGATTAGGTCCAGATGGTGGAGCCTCACTAATGTGATTAGTGCCCCTATAAGAAAACACATCAGCGGGGCGCCTGGGTGGCTCAGTGGGTTGAGCCTCTGCCTTCAGCTCAGGTCATGATCTCAGGGTCCTAGGATCAAGCCCTATGTTGGGCTCTCTGCTCAGTGGGGAGCCTGCCTACTTGTGCTCTCTCTCTCTCTGTCAAACAAATAAATAAAATCTTTAAGAAAGAAAAGAAATGACATCAGAGAGACGGTGTCTCTCCATTCTGCTGTGTGGGGCTACACCTAGAAGAGGACAATCTGTAAATCAGGAAGAGGGCCTTCACCAAGAATCTGACCATGAGCTCAGCCTTCCCAGCCTCCAAAACCGTGAGATATAGCTGTTTGCTATTTAAGCACCCCCAGTTTATGGCTTATTTGTTGTAGCAACCCAAACTAAGACAACATTTCTCCAAGGAAGATATACAAATCGTCGAGATATACCAAGGGTCGATACACACTTGAAAAGATGCTCACCATCACCGATGATTAAGGAACTGCAAATCAAACCCACAAAAAGAGATACTACCCAGCCCCCAACAGAACGGCTGGCATAAAAAAAAATCCAGCCTAAAAAAAAAAAAAAAAAAAAAAAAAAAATCCAGCCCTCCCGAGTTACTTGCGTGGATTCTTTGGGGAAAACGTGCATAAAATGCAGCAAGAATAACAACAAGCAGCGCCCCTCCTTCCTCCCTCAGAGTCCCCCAGCCCCCAGCCCCAGACACAGCTTCTCCTGAAGCATTTTGGCTTCTCTTTCCAGGTTTTTTAGAAATTTCAACACCCGTTGTTCCCTAGCTGACGCGTTATTTTGACCTTTCTGCTGCCATGGGAGAAAGCACGGCGATCTTTCCCCATGATTCATCGTCACGATGCACAGTTGCTCCTTAAATACTTGAAAGTTTAGTTCCCGGCACGACAGAACGCACCTCGCGAACCATCTGTCCGTTTCGCGGAGCTCCGGAGCGCTGGCTTGCGGAAGCGCGCAGTTCGCCTGTGCACCGCTTCACACGGCGGGGGGCACAGTCTCACGATTATAAGTAGAGGCCAAAAGATGCCCGAGAAAGCAAAAATGGGCGGAGGGAAAAACACGTATAGGGCAGAGTATCAGACTCTTACATCCCGCAGCAACAGGGTTCGCCCTGGGTGCCAGAAGTTCAGGTGGTCACTGGCGGAGAGGGGGAAGGCTGCCGGAGGAGCAGAGCGTGTGCGTGTGTGCGTGCGTGTGTGTGCCCATGTATGGACACGTGCGTGCACACGTGTGTGCTCATGTGTGTGTGCTTGCCAGTATAAACTATCATTCAGTAGTGTACTGTTTCGTAAAGCTGTCATAACAAATTAACACTAACGAGAGACTTAAAACAACTGAAATTTGCCATTCTAGAGGCTGAAAAACCGCAATCAAAGTGTGGGCGGGGTTGATTCTTTCCGGAGGCTCCAAGGGAGAATCGTCCCACGCCTCTCTTCCGGCTTCCCGCGGCCACCTACGGCCCTCCGCTACGTCTCTCCAGCCTCTGCCTCTGTCATCCCACAGCCTTCTCTTCCGTGTCTTATGTCAGTTTCCCCTTATATTTTCTTATAAAGTCACCTGTTACTGGATTCAGGGCCCACTGCCAATCCAAGGTGATCTC